TCCTCCGAGAGCGTCCCCTCAGGGAATATAATTCCGTCGGTCACTTATTGTAATAAGTGCCGTTTCGCGTATGGTCGCGACACTCCCGAAAGAACAATAGGGAGGCGGACCAATCACGCCTAGGCTAAGTGAACTTAAGGTGGATAGGGAACGGTTGGGAGTGACACTTGCGTGGAATTCAGAATAAAAATGAATTAGAAAACAAAGGAGTAACAATAGGTATTTGCAAAATAAAAAGAAACCAGACAATCAAATTACAACTAAAAACAAACTACAATTAAATTCAGATTAAAAAATGAACTAAATAAATTACAATATTTTACAAATTACAATTTCCTATTAACATTCTTGTTGAATATCACGCTTTCTTTTCTTCTTATCCTTCCTCACGTACTGCACCTTCGCCCATCTTTGGGTCTTTTTACATTTTCTGGTCCCTTTTGACCTTTCTTACAATGATAATTTTTTGAAAATTTACAAAAAATATGAATAAAGAAAATATCAGAAAAAATAAAAAAGATAAATGACAAAGAAAAGGAAAATTAAAAATAAGAATAAAAATAAGAGAAAATTTGAACATAAAAACAAAAAAGAAAAAGAAAAAAAACAAAAGGAACTTCAATAATACTAACAAATTTTAATTAACGCTGGTTGAATTCCTGCGTTAAAGAAAAAAGTTAAAAGAAAAATAACCAAAATTTGCCTTTAAGAGACAATGATTATTAATTAACAGATATTACGTCGTCTTTCTATAGAGCTTCTGGTGGATTATAACGCTGCAAAAACCTGTAAAAATCCGATAAATCACATAAAATATGCAGATACCTTTTGCAAACGTGTCGGAATATTTCCACAAGTCTCGGTAAGTCCTAATTCCATTACAAATCTTGGCCATACCCGGTGAAGTCCTAATTCATGTCCTCCTTGCTCCGCCTCTTTAAACCGGTTTGGGAGGTAATACCTCATTGCGCGGTTTTGAAATATTATCTCGTATTAGGTCCTTCCTGTCTCAAGTCTTATCACTTTTGCCTCTACCACCGCTCCTAACTCTGGAATCTTTCTCAACCTTATCCGATCTTCGTATATCCTTTCCTCTCCTTCGAGTCGTTCTCCGGTTATCGAGACAGTATCCGGATTAGTCTTTACATAACTAACTACAGCTAACAAACGAAAAGGCTCACCTCGTTTTATAATTTCAGATTCCTTTGTCTGCGTAGGAGGTCTTAGAGTTCCTTGGTGGTTAAACGAAGTAAGAGTAGCTGAACCAAAGAATGGCACTTTCTTCAAAGTGTCGTGAAGTTTCCCGATTTGGTATGACTTCACTTTTATTCTATTAAACGGGTTCAGTAACTCCTTCACACGCAGTTGCATTATCAACGGAGCCGTCCGCCAGCCTTCGTCATTTATTAGATCGTCCACATCAAGTACCAAAACTCGTAGCTCCCACACTTGAGCCACTATGTAAATTGCCTCTTTCTTTAAAACGTAGTCTCCCACCAAAGTGAGATTATAACGCGTTTCAGTCGTCATAATATTATTATAAAGTGAAATTAATAAAGAGAAGATTTTAATAACAAATTTAAGAAAAAAAATAAGAAATTTTTGTCGTGAATGCAGACAAAATCTAAAAATTTGAAGAGTCGCCCTTGACAGCGTCTCTCCCACAGTGTCCTATGGGACCTTTCTACTACACTTTCAACTGTAAGCTCAACCAGTTCTTGAACCTACAGCGCCAACCTCTAGCTACCTTATTACCTTACTTCTTGCTTAAGACTACTTCCAGTCCTAAGCCTTCTATGTTCCGACTCGCCTTGAATAGATGCCAACTCTAGTACTTAGGAAGATTGCTACTCAGACGTAGTGTACTTACCTAAGCCTATATACAGAAGGAAATGTCTGACTATTACGCGTGCGCAATTACCCTTACTACAAACTAGTTTATTACTCACAAACTAGATTATACAACATATATAAGTAAAACTAATTCAAGCAATTCAA